GTGTTTGGTCTTGATAGGATTTAAGATGCTGATATGGAAGGCGTTATGGATCTTTCAAGTGGCTGGTTGGCGGAAGCGGAAGTTGTCTGAAGTGACCTTTGCTTCAACGATGATAGACCCGCAGAAGCAAGGTTGAAGCTTGGATGGAGGATGGCTGATGTCAAGATTACGGTCTGGATAACGGTAGTGATGAGTGGCCAATTGCTTGTGCTGTTGTTGGATATCCAAGAGGTGCTTGTGTGGCCGATCCTCGAGATGGTGGACGATGGCGATGAAATCGTAAGCCAGTTGGACTGTAGCAAGAAATGTCTGTTGCTATGGAGTGAGCCGGATCCGTCCACAGCAAGGAAGGATGGTGTGTATCGCCGTCAGTGATATATGGGCAGGTGCAAGTTGTAGTTGGAGATCGAAGTGGTTGGAAAAGTGTGCTGTAACATGCAGATGAATGGCTACAGTATGTTGTCTGTTCTGTGCATGCTGTTACCTGCATCTGGTCCACGTGTAAAGATCACGAAGTGTTGATGGTATGGCAGTCGTGTCGTAGTACTGCTTCTGTAGCAATGTTGTATCCGTTACATGAAGCTTTTGTCGAATGCTGGTCCATGCCTTAGTGTTGTCTCGAGTCGTACCCTCTCGGCATCGTAGTGCTGCGAAATGGAGAGTAGAATCACTAGTAGTAACCCAATCCACCACGCGGTCTCATTCTGTCACTGTCAAGGAAGTAACATTGATGTCAAAGACGTCTCAGCTACTCAGCATCAGTGTTGAAGTCTGCTCCATTTCAGCAAACAGGGGTGTTGTTGGAGATACGCGGATTCCACGATCCGGAGTGGCGTCGGCGCTCCATTCCACGCCTATCTGCTTCCGTAGAGTTGGTGCTGGTGAGGGATTGGTTGTGACGTAGGTTTTATGACCTTATGGAAAGCCATAGGCCATGAGGACTTGTATACTGATAGAGTACCGTAGTCCTCCCATCCTCATAAGAGCAAATATCTCTTGCTCTTGAGGGTATATGGCATTGCCATATTGTTTCTTCGCATAGTGGTGTCTCTTTCCCACTAGCTGGAAATCATAGTACTGTGCCTGGCCGGGATTTTTACGATCCACTGAAATATAATCCAGCATTATCTCCATTGAGCGGAGAATCAACCATCAGGGTTTGGATATGCCTGTTGTGTCGAGTTTTCTGCTGTGACGGCGGCGGCGGTTGCAACAATGGCGACGGCGGCTGCTGCTGCAGAGAATTCTCTTAACTCGTAATGGTTGAAAAAGAATCCATCAACTTCCTCATCCCAGTAGAGTTTTCCTGATGGGTGTAATAGGCGTAACTACCAGGAACACGTGCATTTTGGTACACATGTGTTGCTCCATTGCTGTGGGTGATGGTTTCATTTGAGGGTGTGAAGAGAATTTTTTTTCTCCCCTCAATGTATCCACGGGTAGCAATTCCTGGTATGCTCATCCGTGCCTCCCATGTACAGTCGGTAGAGCGCGTGATCGTGTTGTAGTAGTCCGCATCTCCCTCATTTGTTGACACCTCGTATTGCTAGGCGTTCTCCTACATCATCGAAGTTACGCTGATGCTTGTAACGCTTCCGCTTGTGGTAGAATCACCTCCAATGCATGTGTCGTAGGGTCGCTAGTGAACAAATACTTGCCGGATTAGAGGTTAATTAATCCTCAATATGTCAAGCATCGTGACATGCACAGAAACTTTTCCACGCAGGTCATTAACACCTGGAATCGCGACGCATGATTGGTGTGTCGCCTCGTAATGTTGATGTTGAGACTGCTCCAATCAATCACTTCGGATGGCTGAGATTCTTGATGGCGACGAATCGATCAGCTCCTGTTACGAGGTAGTGTCTCGCTGGCCTTGACGAGATGGGTTCACTGTGTCATCGTTGCGTGCGAAATCTGCTCCTTCACGTCAACTTGTTACTGGGAAAACGGAAACTTCTCTGCAATCCCACAGCTTGTCGATCATTTTATATGAAGAAGTGTCTCATGGATGGAGAACATGACTTCACGCAGCTTCATTTTTATTCCGGGGTGAAGATCCGTTGTGTTGATGTCGATCCATTTTTAACGAAGATGACTTCGTCAAAATACATTGATAGTTATCGTCACTAGTTAGAACATGCGTAGATTGTGCAGTCCCTGGTCACTAATGTCGTCTCCATGATGATGATTTTCCATAGTGTCGTCTCTGCTGCATTCGTACCGTTGATTCCGCACCGAATCCGACGATCCACGTTCTTCTGTCAGTTTTCTGCTTGCAGCTATTACCACGTAGGTAATTCTTCGGCAGATTTATGACTCCGTAGATACTTTCTGTGCCATATTCGTTACCAAATGGAGGAATCCGAATTTGGTAGTCCAGATGATGTCAGCGGTGTCGAAAGCGGCTGATTTCTGGTTCTGTGCATCATTCTCCCTTTCATCGCGCTCCATCTCGTCCGTTGAAGCAGAAGTCGATCCGACGATCCAAACTCCAAGCGATTTGAAGATTTCCTGAGTCACGTTCAGCAGCTTTCGGTGCCCGGGTTGACTCGTTTCCTGCAGCAATTCTCGGTCGTCGATGTCGGCTGTCGAGCGATCGGACGCTCGGAAGAATTTTGCGGCAAGCAAGGTCCCGTTCCCATTCGCGCTCAAACTCGAACTCGCTCAGAAGTATATCGATTTCGTCTCGGTCGATCTGAAGCGTCAAATCTCTATTGGACGGATTGTTGTAAAATATATATCTATACAACATGCATGCCTAGATTAGGAGGTGTAGTCATTATAAATATTGGGGGGTTGTTGGTTGGGTTGACCAACCCCACATTTGGGTTGGTCAAGATTGGATTTGGTCCTAGACATTTGGTTGGCACTATTCCAACCAAATGGTCCTTGGTCCTAGGAACCAACCAATCACCAAGCACCACACTTTGTGGTTGCTTGCCTTCCAAGCAATCTCCCTCATTGGTCCACATTGTGGCCAATCAGAGAGCACCACACTTTGTGGTTGCTTGCCCTACAAGCAACCTCTCCCATTGGTCCACGTTATGGCCAATAGGAGAGCTTCCCTTCCAACTCTTCCTTGCTCCTTGTTTTGTACAAAAGAGCCTCTTGGCTCCCTACTCAATCAATCTTTTCTCTTCCAAGCTATTTCCTTCATGGTATTCAGAGCCACAATGGCTCACGCCACCTCTAGTCGATCCTAACTAGCACGGCCCTATGCCGTCCCTCCTCGTCATCAAAGCCTAGCCCTTCTTAGGCTATTTCGCGCGCCGTCCGTGCGCCCTCTCCCAACGCGATCTCCCATTGCGCACACTCTCTCTCCCGTCGCGCGCCTCCTATCGCGCCCGCTCTCCCTTCCGTTGCGCACCTCCCCTCTTGTCTTTCGACGCCCTTTTCCTCCTCGCGCGGCTCGTCGTCGCGTCGTCCTGTCGTGCGCCCTCCGCCACCGCGCGCACCCGTTCGTCGCGCTCTCGCACCACGCGCCTGTTTGTCGCGGCACTCGCGTGCACCCGCCGACGAATCCGTCCATCGCGAACGTGCACGCCGCCGCAGCCGTCGCCGATTTCGCCGCCGTCGCGTGCGGCTGTCCGTCGTCGCTTCCGCCGACCGCGCGCGGCCGTCCGTCGCCGCATCCCTCCTGGGAGCGCGTCGCGCAGCTCGGCGACTTAAGAGCTGCGCTCCGCGCACCTATCCTTCTCCTCCCTCCCCCTTCTCCTCCTCCTTTCCTTTTCCTCCTCCTTTCCTTCTCCTTTCCTTTTTCCTCCTCCTTTCCTTCTCCTCCTCCTCCTCAATGGCGTCCGATTCCTCGGTGGACCTTACCTCCGTCGACGCTCTTGAGCTGCTGCCCGACAACACCGCGGTCAATTGGCATTCCTATGCCCAAACCGTCACGGTGCTTCTCTCCTCGGTGACGGTCAACGGCTACAACCTGAAAGCCGTTGTCCATCTCGAGGAGCGCGGTCTTCAGCCTGCCCAGCCGATTGCTCCCGCGGGCCCTGCACCTCCTCCTCCTGGCGATGCTCCCGTCAGCCCTGGTGATCCTCCAACCTTCGCCCCTGACGTCAACGACCCTCAGAGCTCCGAGACCGCCATTCGCACCTACCGTGCCGGCCTCACCGACCACGTCCGCCAGCAGCTGCTCTTCCCGCGCCGAGCATGACGCCGCCACTGCCGCCTACAACACGTATCAGGCGGAGCTCGCGGAGTACGTCAGGCGCGAGCGCGCATACATCACCGACCTCACCGCCTGGCGTGTCGCCGACCGGCGCGCGCTCACCGTCCTCCTCGCCACCATTCCTCCCACCCTCAAGCGCGAGCTTGCTCCCACTTCCTCCTCCCACCTCTGGCGCCTCCTCACCGATCTCTATGATCGGCAGGACGTTGCCACCCTCTACTCCCTCATCAAGGAGTTCCAGAGCCTCACCATGGACTCTACCACCGGCGCAGCTGCCTTCACGCGTCGCGTCCTCGACCTTGCTTGGCGCCTGGCGGCTCTTGGCGTGCCGTACCCGGACCCTATGCTATGTTGCCACCTCCTTGAAGGCTTGACTCCTGCCTTCGACACCCATAAGATCGCCTACATGCAGCTGATCGACAAGCGCATCACCCCAGCTGAAGTCGCCCAGTGGATTATCACCACCGAAGCCGACCTCTTGCGCCATTCCTCCTCAACTGCTGCTGTTGCTCAGCAGCGCAACACCAGGGGAGGGCGCGGGGGTGGGCGTGGCGCTGGTCATGGTGGTGGTGCGGGTCGTGGTGGCAACGGCGCAGGACGTGGTGCAGCAGCCGCCTTTCCTCCTTGTCAGTATCTCCCTCGCTATGGCCCCACGCGGGGTCAGCGATGCGGCCAGACCACTCATGCCACTAACTCTTGCTTCAAAGCGCTCAGTGATGAGTGGTTTGCCCGCGGCAACACCGGCACCCCCCCCTGCTGGTCCTTTCTCTCCCCTCGCCCCACTCCTCAAGAGGTTCGTACCTCCCCTCTTTTCCAGCCCGTCTCCTCCCCCTTGGCCCTCCAGGCCGTTTCTCAGCAACAGCAGCAGCAGCAGACTCCGCAGCAGATCCTGCCACAGCCGTTTCAGCAGCAGCAGCAGCAGTTCCAGCAGCAGCAGCAGCAGCAGCAGCAGCAGCAGCAGCAGCAGCAGCAGGGGCAGCAGCACCTCTTCTCCCAGTTGCAGCAGCAGCTCCTGCAGCTCCAGCAGCAGCTTGACCTCCAGTCGCAGCTCCCCCTTGCACCTCCTCCTATGGCTCCCCCCCAGCAGCCCTACCCCGCTTGGACCGCCGGCACCGCCGCTTCTGCAGCTCACCTCTCGGGCGCGTCTCCCGCGCCCTCAGCCACAGGCAGTGTGACTCCTTTCCCCTCCTCTGCTTTTGTTGGCATGGTTAGTCAGGCTGGAACCCCCGCCCCTTCTATGTATTCGGCTGCTATTAATGAGAATGTGATTCAGTACTCCGTCCCACCTCCTCCCCCACATCCTCCCCCCTCCACCACGCTGGACTTTGTCCTTGACAGTGGAGCCACCGAGTCCGTCCTTCGTGATGCTAGTACCCTTCACCCCCTCCCAGCCCCCACCTCCCTCCTTGGTGCCGATTCCAGCTTCTCTATTCCCTGTCGCCACACCTCTACCCTCCCCTGTCCCCTCTTCCCCTCAGGTACCGTCACTGGTTTACACATCCCCTCCCTCCGTACTAACCTCCTCTCCCAGCGATCCCTTCAGCAGGCTGGTATCACCACCGTCTTCCCAGGTCGCGCTAATCACTGCCTCCTATACCATCCCACAGGTCGCCTCCTCTCCCGTATTCCCTTTTGTCCTCGCTCCCGCCTATATACCCTTCGGGTTCCTCGTCTTCCCTCTGCCTAGACAGTCTCCCGCTCCCTCCCCCCACCTCACATCCCTCCCCCTCCTCTCCCTTCTTCTAACCCAACCATTCCCCCCCTCCCCCCTGACCCAACCTGCTCCTGTCGATCTCTCTCCCATCCCACCGTCCTCCTCCACCACAAGCTTGGTCACCCCAACTTTGCCACCCTCCGCTCGACCGTCTCCTTAGGTCTCCTTCGAGGTCTTCCCTCACCCTCCCTCCCCTCCCTCCCTCCCTTGCCCCTCCCTGCTCCGTCTGTGTCCAGAGCAAGCTCAAGCAGTTGCCGCATCGGAGTTCCCCCTCCACTGCTGCTCAGCCGCTTGATCTTGTTCACATGGACCTCTGGGGCCCCAACCCCTCCCCTTCCCGCCAGGGCCATCGCTACATGCTTGTTCTGGTCGATGATCGCAGCCGATATTCGTCCGTCTCCCTTCTTCGCTCGAAGGGTGACGCTCCGGCTGCGATCATCGCCTGGCTCAAGCAGGCGAGCACCCACTTTGGCCGCCCTGTGCGCCGCCTTCACTCTGATGGCGGTGGCGAATTCCTTAATCGAAAGGTAGCCTCCTACTGTGAGCTTCATGGCATTCGCCAGACTCACACCCTCCCCCACTCCCCCCCAGCAGAATGGTGTGGCCGAGAGCCGTGTTCGGGAGATCACCAAAATTGCTCGGTGTCTCCTCGTCCATGCCTCTTGCCCCCCTTCTCTCTGGGGCTATGCCCTCCTTCACGCCACCCTCCTTACTAACCTATACCCCACCCTATTCTTCCCTCCACCACTCCCACCGAGCTCTGGACGTCGGCCAAGCCTGACGTCTCCTCCCTCCGTGTGTGGGGCTCCAGGGCGTATGTCCTCATTCACCCTGCGGACCGCCCCCGCACCATGGGAAAGCTCGCCTCCCGTACCCTCCCCTGCATCTTCCTTGGTCATAATCCCTCCTCCCCGGACTACCTCTTCCTTCACCCCCCCTCAGGTCGTTTCCTCCGCAGTCGGGATGTAGCCTTTGATGAGTCCACACCCTACTATTCCACTCCTCCCCCCACTGACCCTCTCGCCCCTGCTCCCAGGCCCCTCACGTGGTCCGACACTATCCCACCCCCTCTTCTCCCTCACCCTCCCATCCTCCCCCCCGCTCCACCTCCTCCATTCCCCGCTGCCTCGGTCCCTAGTGCTCCCCCCTCCTCTGGTGACATATTTGACCCTGACCCTTTTTTTCCCCCCGCCTCCCCGTCCCACTCCTCCCCCTCCGCTCCCTCCCATCCTCCCCCCATCCCCTCCTCCCCCTCTCCCCCACGACCCCCTCCCCCCCTGCGTCCCACCCGCTCCATCCTCACCCGGTATCCCCACACCAGGTCGCGTGACGCAGTCCTAGGTGCCCCGCCTCCTGTTATCCTCTCTTCCTCTACCTTGCCTCCTCTCTCCCCTCTCATGGACCTCCTTTTACAGACAGTCTTACAACAAAACACTAGCCCAACCCTGCCGTCGAGCTCCAGTACAGCAGTCCCAACAGCAGCAGCAACAGCTGCAGCAGCAGATCCACCCACCGCAGCAGCACTAGCAGCCAGCACCCAGCAGCAGCAGTAGCCGTCGCTCCTTCCTCGCCTTCACCCGCAGCAGCAGCAGCGGCGGCCAGCAGATGCAGCAGTAGCAACCACCTCAGCAGCAGCAGCAGCAGATGCATCCTCAGCAGCAGCAGCCGCAGCAGCTGCAGTCCTCCCATTCATTTTCCACTCCTCCCTCCTCGAGGACTCCTATGAGGAGTTCCTCAACCTCCACCTGCATGATCCAGCTCTCCTACCCATCTCCCCTGACCTCAGCGGCACACCAGTCTTCGCCTTCTCCTCCGCCCCCACCATCTTCGTCCCCCCGCCACGTACGAGGAGGCCATGGCGTGCCCTGACGCTCACCTCTGGGCTCGCGGCCAATCCTCAAGGAGTTGGAGGCGTTTATTGCCAACTCCTCCTTTGTGGATGTGCCCCGCCCTCCCTCTACCACGAACGTGGTCAAAGAGAAGTGGGTGTTTTGGGTGAAGCAAATCCTGGCGAGCCGTCGGTCTACAAGGCCCGCTACGTCGCCAAGGGCTTCACCCAGTGCTACGCTGTCGACTTCTTCGACACCTTCTCTCCCACCGCCAAGCCCGCTACCATTCGCGCAGTCCTCGACCTCGCAGCTCGCCTCAACATGGAGATTCACTCCATGGACGTCTCCAACGCATTCCTCCAAGGGGTCTTGCGCGAGCTCATTTACATGGAGCGTCCTGCAGGCTTCCACCTCCCCTTTCCTTCCGATTCTGTCTGGCAGCTGCGTCGACCAGTCTATGGGCTCAAGCAGGCACCAAGGGATGCCATGTTCCACAGGCGCTCCAAGCACATTGAGCTTCGCCACTACTTCATTCGCGAGCTTGTGCAGGGTGGCCACCTCCAACTAGGCAAGATTGACTCTGCTGCCAATCTTGCCGACATCTTCACCAAAGCCCTCCCCCACGCCACCACTCGTCCCTCCTTCGCCTTCTTGGACTCGCTCCCCTGTTCCTCCCTCGTCCACCTCCTAATTCAAGCCCTCTAGTCTTATGCATGTTGGGGGGTTGTGTTGTAAAATATATATCTATACAACATGCATGCCTAGATTAGGAGGTGTAGTCATTATAAATATTGGGGGGTTGTTGGTTGGGTTGACCAACCCCACATTTGGGTTGGTCAAGATTGGATTTGGTCCTAGACATTTGGTTGGCACTATTCCAACCAAATGGTCCTTGGTCCTAGGAACCAACCAATCACCAAGCCACCAACTTTGTG